GTCCCGGCTTGTGACGTCACTGATGGTGACTTGATATGTTCACAGACGGGTCATCTCTCGGCTGGTGCTTTGTGACCAGTGCTCACCAGGTCGGCTGGGGATGGTGGGGTCTATCCGTCCGTCGAGCTCACAGTACGGTTCGGTAGTTCATGGCTGTCTGGTTTGCGCTTCGGAGGGTTCGGGTCACTCGGTGCTCTACCATTCGGCTCCATTCGAACTGTTCTCTGGCAGTTCTTTGCCGGAACCACAGGGGTTTCTCTTAGGTGTTTGACCTCTGGGGTTGGTCCCTTAGAGTGGCTCATTTGCTGGATTCTCGGGGTTTGGCTAACCGTGAGGTTCATGTCCAGGGTGTGTCCTACGTCCTGGCGGACAGCTGTCTCGGTTCATTCTTCTGTTCGTGGTTTGGCCAGTCGTCATCAACTCGTTTCGTTAGCTCTGCTTGGGACTACGTACTATGTATGGACTCCTGGCCATGGACGTCTTCGAGTCGGCGTGGTCTAGGCGTCGCCCATTCTATGTGGCGCCCTTACCCGCCTGCGAGGCATTCACAGTGGATGCCTTTCGGCAGGATTGGTCGAGGTGGGGGGTACCTGTTCCTCTTCTACCGGTCCAGCTGTTGCTTCGGATTTTGGCTCAGTTGGAGCCCATTCCCAAGAGAGTAGTCCTTATGGTCCCTTGGTGGCCGGCCCAGTTTTATTTTCAGACGCTGCTTGATAGGTGTCCGAACCCGGGGCGTTTTCCCGCGGCTCCGCCTCTTTCGGCAAGTCGGACCGGTCCTGTACGTGACTGGTTCGGCCTTCTCCTCGGCTCTTCGCGTTTGGTTTTTTGACGCGGGTATCACCATATTTGGTGATCAGGTGGCTTTGTTGATGGTGTCCCACCTGCGAGCTTCTTCTCGGCAACAGTATGACGTTTCTGGTGTTTCTATGCACCTTTTTCTTGCTCTTCATAGGTTGTCTTCTCTTTCACATCGGGTTGTCTTGTCCTTTCTTGGGTTTTCTGGACTACAGTTACAGTTATTTGATGTTTCTTACTGTTGCTTCGTTTTGTGCCGCGCTGGCGGAGCCGCTCCGGCTTGCGTTCAAGGTAGACGTCACATTTGCCCCGTTCCGTATGCTTTCTCATGTTCTGTTTCACCTCCGGCCTGTTCATGCGTCGCTTGAGTCGTCCTGGTTCTTGATCAGGGTGCCCTCTTATCTTCTCCTCAGTTCGTGGTAGCCCCTTCGGTTCAGGTTTCTGCTCTTTGGTACTGGTGGTAGGTTTGTACATTTGCAGCCTTTCTCCATCTTTCTGGCGACGGTCGAGACAGCTGCTTTCTGGAGGGGTCCTTGGGTTATTGATGCTTGATTGGTTTGGCCGGGGGTGCGTCCTGTGTTGTCCGGTTGCGCCCTTTTGCCGTTACCTGCGTACCGTGTCTGGGAATGCGCTTTGGGTTGATCCGGTTCCCCTCGTTCCCTGTTTCAGGGCTCGAGTCTCTTAGGTCGTCCGCAGAGTTTTTGTTTTCCAACCTGTGGTCTGTCCTTGTGCCCGTGCTGTTCAGACGTTTGCAGCTTTCGCTGTTGTGTTGGTGACTCTAGGGCTCTTTTCGGGCGCAGGGATTTAAAGGTCGCACAGGTTCTTGGCTGCCCATTATTTATGAGGGTGTCTGCTCCTGTACGTTCTTGTTGCCTTGGGTCGCAGGTTGCAGCCTGTTGTCTCGGCTTCGCGTTGCGGAGTTTGTGGTGGCCGCCTCCCGGGTCAGCCTTTCTTTTCCTTCTCTTTGGGTATGAAGCTCCAGGGAGCCGTAGGGGCTCCCCCCAGAAAACCAGCGTTGAATGTAATGAAACACCATTTTGTGGGCGAGCCCCGGAGGTTCCCTGGGAACCCTCCCTCCCACCGGTCGGCGGTTTTTCCGTGTCGGTTGAAGCTTAGCTTCCAAACTGGTACTAGGTAGCTGGCGTGTTAGGTCCGGGGCTCCCCCCTCCCCCTCTCAGGGCTTGGAGGGCTGCGCGGACGATCGGTGCGGCAGTAAAGTGTGATGTTTGCTTGTTTCTTTGGGATTGTAGGGAGTTTCTACCTCTCTGTTCGGTTTTTTGTTTTAGTTTTTACCATGTGGGGTTTGTTTTGTCATGCCTACCTTTTTGGGTGCCTGACCCCGGTCGATGGCAGATAAGTAAAACCCCAACCACAAAGGGGTTTTCCAGAGCCATTGCTCCCTGAAACCTCTCTGAAGGGGCCAGGTTCTGGCGCTGGTCCCTGGTAGGTCTGAACTCCTTAGCTAATGTCCCGGTCTAATATAAAATACATTAGCCCAATAAGCTCCAGGGAGCCTCAAGGGCTCACCCAGAAAATGGCGTTTCATTACATTCAATGCTGGTTTTTTGCATCGGCGTTGTCTCGGCATCTCCCGATATGTGGCGCCCTTCCCCTGACTGTGACACTGTCACGGAGGATGCCTTTCGGTAGGACTGGTTGAGGTGGGGGTTACCTGTACCTCTTTTTCCCGGTCCAGATGTTGCTTCAGGTCCTGGTTCGCTTGGTGACTTACCAGGGAAGAGTAGTCCTGTTGGCCTTTTGGTAGCTGGCCCAGCCTTGGTTTCAGGTGCTGCTTGCTCGGTGTCCAACCCATGATGTATTTCTTGACTCTGCCTCTTTCAGCGGATCGGCTTAGTCCGATATGTGGCTAGTTCAATCTTCTCCTCTGCTCTTTGCGTCTGATCTTTCTGACGCGGGTCTATCACCACTTGTATGGTGATCAGGTGACTTTGTTGGTTTTGTCCTACCTGAGAGCTTTGTCTCAGCAACAATATGAAGCTTCCTGGCAGTCTTTCTGCCATTTTCACTCCCTTCGTAGGTTGTCCTCTATTTCGGATCAAGTTGTTTTATTCTTTCTTGGCTTTTACAGAACTGTCATTTGAGGCATATTTCTGTTGCCTCGTATCATGCGGCGCTGGAGGAGCTGCTTTGGCTTGCATATGGGGTAGATGTTACTTTCGGCCTGTTCCTCAGGCTTTCTCATCGCTTTTTTCACCTCCGACCTGCTCATGCACCGCCTGAGCCATCCTGGTCCTTGGACAGAGTGCTCTCTTTTCTCTCTTCTCCTCTGTTTGTGGTGGCCCCTTCAGTTCAAGATTGTTTTTTCATGGCTTTGTTTCTGTTGGCACTAGCCTCTGAAGGTTGGGTTGGGGAGCTTCACGCTCTACTCCGGTGCAGGGTTTTTGCTCCTTCGGTCCTGGTGGTACTCACCTAATTGTGCTTGCAGGGGTTGAGCTTTGGCTCTTTGGTCCCGCCTCTCAACTGTCAATCAACTGGTGTACAGATTCCTGAGCCTACTGGGCTCTATCATATCTACATTTGAAACTGTGTATGGAGTCAGCCTCCACCACATCACTTCCTAGTGCATTCCATTTATTAACTACTCTGACACTGAAAAAATTCTTTCTAACGTCTCTCTGGCTCATCTGGGTACTAAGTTTCCACCTGTGTCCCCTTGTTCGTGTCCCACCCGTGCTGAAGAGTTTGTCTTTGTCCACCCTGTCAATTCCCCTGAGAATTTTGTAGGTGGTTATCATGTCTCCCCTTACTCTTCTGTTTTCCAGGGATGTGAGGTTCAGCTCTTTTAGCCTTTCCTCGTAGCTCAATCCTCTCAGTTCCGGGACGAGCCTGGTGGCATACCGCTGAATCTTCTCTAACTTTGTCTTGTGTTTAACTAGGTATGGACTCCAGGCTGGAGCTGCATACTCCAGGATTGGTCTTACATAAGTGGTATACAGGGTTCTGAAAGATTCCTTACACAAGTTTCTGAAGGCAGTTCTTATGTTGGCCAGTCTAGCATATGCCGCTGATGATATTCTTTTGATGTGGGCCTCTGGGGACAGGTTCGGTGTGATATCAACCCCCAGATCCTTCTCTCTATTTGACTCTTACAGGATTTCCCGTCCCAGATGATACCTTGTGTTCAGCCTCCTGCTCCCTTCGCCTAATTTCATCACCTTACACTTTCCCGAGTTGAACTTTAGCAGCCATTTTCTAGACCATTCCTCCAGTTTATCCAGGTCATCCTGTAGTCTCTGTCTATCTTCATCCGTCTTGATTCTTCTCATAATTTTTGCATCATCAGCAAACATCGAGAGGAATGAGTCTATACCCTCTGGAAGATCGTTCACATATATTAGAAACAGGATGGGTCCAAGTACTGAGCCCTGTGGGACTCCGCTGGTGACATCTCGCCACTCTGATGTCTCCCCCCTCACCGTTACTCACTGTTTCCTGTTGCTTAAGTACTCCCTTATCCACTGGAGCACCTTCCCTTTTACTCCTGCTTTTACTGGTAGGTTTGTTCGGTTGCAGCCGTCTCCTTTTTTCGTGCGAAGAATGAGACAGTGACTTTCCGGAGAGGTCCTTGAGTCATTGATGCTTGTTGGTCAGGCCTGGGGTGCATCATGTGTTGTGTCCGGTTGCGGCTCTTGTCCATTATCTGAGTGCATTGGCAGTTCCCGGGGGGGGGGGGGGGTGGTTGGAACTGCGCAGACAGGCGGTATGGCGGTGAGGTGTTGCTGTTTACTTGTTTTCTTAAGTTGTCGTGGAAGTTCTTCCTCCCTGTTCGGTTTCAGTCGCATTTTCTTACCAAGTGGGGTTTGTTTCATTATGCCTACCTTTCTGGGTGCCAGCCCCAGTTGATGGAAGACATGGAATTTTCCCAACCACATTGAGGATTCTATAGGCTACTGCTCCCTTTGCCTTTCTGAGAGGGCCAGGTTCTGGCCGTGATACCAGGTAGGCTGAACTCCATTCACTGATGCCCCAGACTAATATATTGCATATCAGTCCGATAGCTCCAGGGAGCTTCCGGGGCTCACCCAGAAAATGGCGTTTCATTACATTCAACGCTGGTTTTTGTTGTTTCAACAGTCCTAGCCACTCCCTAGTCTCCCAACGAGTCAAGGAGTCACTCCTTGACTCCCTAGTCAAGTACAATTTCAAGACTTGGAGATTTTAGAATATGATTTTCTGTCTTACAGGAACTTCAAGCAAAGATAAAAATGTTAGAAGAGCACAATCAGAAGTTAACGCAGCTACTTTCACAAAGTCCTGTACCATGTAGAACTCTAGAAACGGAGAAGACAGCCAAGAAAAAGACAAGAAAAAACATCGCATGGTGAGTTTTTTCAATGCACACAAGCATTCTGATTTAACAAACTGCACTTACTCAACTCCACTGATTGGCTGAACTGATTCTTATCCAGTAATTATTTGTCAGAAAAACTAGAAATATTTGTATCTAGGGTTTCAATTTACTTGAATTGTTACCGGGTTTCCTGTTGAGGTGTGTGTGGGGGGGGGGGGGGGCAAGTGTTTGTTGCTTAACTTGGGCTGTCCTGTGGACGGCAGGGGTGGAGTATGTGGTGGACAGCAGGGGTGAAGTGCGTGGTGGACGGCAGGGGTGAAGTGCATGGTGGACGGCAGGGGTGGAGTGCGTGGTGGACGGCAGGGGTGGAGTGCGTGGTGGACGGCAGGGGTGGAGTGCGTGGTGGACGGCAGGGGTGGAGTGCGTGGTGGATGGCAGGGGTGGAGTGCATGGTGGATGGCAGGGGTGGAGTGCGTGGTGGACGGCAGGGGTGGAGTGCGTGGTGGACGGCAGGGGTGGAGTGCATGGTGGACGGCAGGGGTGGAGTGCGTGGTGGACGGCAGGGGTGGAGCGGGTGGTGGACGGTAGGGATGGAGCGGGAGGTGGATGGCAGGGGTGGAGGGGTTGAGCGGGTGGTGGACGGCAGGGGTGGAGCGGGTGGTGGACGGCAGGGGTGGAGCGGGTGGTGGACGGCAGGGATGGAGCGGGGGGTGGATGGCAGGGGTGGGGTGGGTGGAGGGGTTGAGTGGGTGGTGGACGGCAGGGGTGGAGCGGGTGGTGGACGGCAGGGGTGGAGCGGGTGGTAGACGGCAGGGGTGGAGCGGGTGGTAGACGGCAGGGGTGGAGTGCGTGATGGACGGCAGGGGTGGAGTGGATTGTATAATAAATCAATTTTCCTTGAATATTTTAACAATGTTATACTGTACAGTCACTTTTGGGGCTTCATGCTGATTGAGATGAATGTGAAGATATTAATCCAGGGACTTTCGTTATTAGATCCATTGGAATACTGTACGTATAAAGGGCAACAGCTTCAAGCTCAACAAGCCACAATGTACAACAGACAAACAAGAATTGTATTTTCACTTGTAGTGTAATAAACCCATGGAATTGCACACCCACAGAAGCTGTAAATGCTATGCCAATATTTAAGTTTAAAAATCGGCTTAAAAATATTGTCTGGAATAATGGGGACCCATATGACAAGACACCAGCCTTCAGGCCCCCATTGAGGTAGCTAGAGTTCACAATCCTTGGATAAATTCATGTAAATATTTTTGGAACTTAAATGTTCTTTGAGGCTATCATGATAAGCCATAAAACCAACAACTGCTACAAACTCGGTAACATCAAAGGTACACATAAATAGGATAACATCAACAGCATATGGAAAACACGCAAATGTTGAGTAGTATTTAAAAGTCTAACCAAAGATTCTTTTATGACAATCTATTCAGCTTGTCTAAGACTAATACTGCAATACTCTGCACTGGCGTGACGTCCTCAATAAACTGAACTGAAAAAAGTAGAGAGGTTTGCAAGAAGATTAGTGCTAAAATTAAAGGGACCAAGTTATGATGATTGGTTAAAAGAATTAAATCACAACATTAGAGGAGAGAAGGAATAGGAGATATGATTAATACATACAAGAAACTGAAGGGAATTAATAAGGTGGACAATGACAGCTATTTCTGTGGGGAACCCCTATGGCTCCCGAGTGCTTACCGGGCTGATAATTATGTATTTGACCATGGCATCAGTTGGTTGGAGTTCTTTGCCTACCAGGGACCACGAGCCAGAACCTGGCCCCCCCTAGTGAGGCCAGGAGGAACAATAGCCAATGGAAACTCCAATGTGTTTAGAAGCATTCCATGTCTGCCATCGACCAAGGTTGGCACCCAGAAAGGTAGGCGTAAAAAAAAAAACCCGACATGGTAAAAATTGCTACCTAAAAACTGAACAGGGAGACAGAACTTGCAAACTAAAACAAGCAAACAAGCAAATGGCGCTGCTGCGACGCTCGTCTGCACAGCTCATCCCACCAGGAGAGGGAGGGGGGTGGGGGGCGGAACCCCCAGCAGTGGCTGCTCCAGCATTCAGTTTGCTGCTGATGTCTGACTGTGGCAGTTGTCGACTCTGGCCTCTCATTATATGCAGTCTTGTGCCTTGTGGTGTTTTTCTGTGGTGTGGTGCACAAGCCAGGAGTAATTCATCAGTACTGGGGCTGCATGCATTTACTGTCACCTTCCCTAAGCACCCTGTAAGTACTGCTCTTGCATTCTGGGGTTCCCTTCCACAGGGTGTCGGGAGCCACATCCGTAGGGATCTTTTGCTGCTCGGCAGTTGCCCGCCTTGAGGTCAGCTGGGGTTTTCATTCCTTTTGTTTGGCCTTGGGGAGGACATGGTATTGTTGTTGGTAAGGTACTGTGCAGCTGCTGCCATTATATACAGAAGCCGGTTCTGTTGCCCCTGAAGACTTTGTGCTTTCGCTGGGTTTTCTTTTTCTTTTTGTTTATTTTGCCTAGTGGAGGCCTGCCCCCCTCTTGGTTCTGATCCACCTTGTGGTATATTGGTGGTCCTCCACTAGGCTCCCATGCTTGTACACGTCACATAGATTCAGTTTTAGCAGTTTCTCTTGGTAGTTTGGGCCCGACCGGTTAGTAGTACCTTGCCTGGGCTTCCCTTAGCAGTCAGCCTAAGGGCCCTGAGAAACCCCCTTGGGGCTCATTAGACCTATGGATGCGTCCTCTGGGTTCCAACTTGCGAGTGCGGGGTTGATGGTTGCTCTGTTCCCTTGTCTTAGGGGTGACATTCGCCTGTTTTGCCTCAATCATGCTGCCTGCTGGGTCGATGACACCTTTGAACCGGAGTCTTGTGAGTCTTGTTCCTTGCTTGTGCTGCAGTTTACCCATTCTACTTATGTTGATGTTCAGGTACAGGCGGCTTCAGCATTCCATGCACGGTATCGGTTGTTGCAGTGCATTTGGTTGGTTGCTCGCCCGGATGCCCCAAGGCTGCCCCATTTGGGTTATAGGGACCCGGACTTGGGGGCGTTATTCGCTTCGACTTTGGTTTCGTCCGCGCTCCCAAGTCCTTCCCAAGTTGGTGTTGTTTGTCCTTCCCTCCCCCTCCTCTTCCCTGCTCCCAGATGCCAAAAGTCTTGGGGTTTCAGAGTCGGGTCAGTGTTTAGATGGAAGTGAGACTCTTAGGGGTGAGGGGGGGACGCCCTCAGGGGTTGCCTCATCCAGGTTGGCAGGGGAGGCATTTGAGCCGGTTCCTCCTGCTGAAGCTTCTGGGATCTTACCACCAGACCCCCCTTCTTTTCTGCTTTTCTCCTGGACTCGGCCTTTTCTATGGGGCTGAAAATGTGGAGGCCAACTCTGCCCCGGGTCCTGACATGGAAGATCCCAGGGCTCGGGAGGAGTTGACTTGGAGGGGCTTGGGCCCCGTTTGACCTCGATTGGATGTTGGTACCTTCATCACAGGGCTTGTTGTTGCAGGGGGAGGGGTTTTCCTATCCCCTTCTCCCCTTCCTGTATGAATATGATTTGTTATCAGCTCCTCCCCGGGTTCAGTTCCGGGTTTCCTAGGGTTCTTCGTTTCCTTCCGGAGGTGTTTGGCTTCTCAAATCCCGCCTAGGGAGGTTCGGAGGCCCTCGCTGCATACCTTCTTCGAGACTTGGATTAAGCTTCAGTGTTGAATTCGTCTTCATTTGAGTTTGGGTCGATTTTTCCCTTCTGGGTGCATTACGAGGTACCGGAGTCTTCCTGGTTGGCAGACTGCCCTTTCTTTTCGTTGGGCGTGTGGCATGGATTTTGACGGACTTGCACCCCTTGAATGGCGGGATCTGAACAAGTGGATAGAACTCCCCAAAAAGAAACGAGCAAACGAGCCTGACATCACACGTCGTCGCCCCGCTGTCTGCGCAGCTTCCCTCTCCCTGGGAGGGGGGAAGGGAAGCCCCAGACCCCCACCTGGCTATCCACCCTTCAGTTCTGAGGCTGATGCTATAGGCAACGGTCGTGTGCTCCGGCTCCAGTGGTTGTTTCAGCACTGTACCTAGAGTGTGACTGTCTTCTTGTGACTGTCTTCTTGTGACTGTCTTCTAGGTGGTGCATGATCAGGAGTTATTCCCCAGTACTCGGGCTGCATGCGCCTTGGGTTTCCTTCCCTAGGTGCCCAGTAAGTACTGCCCTTGGAGCTTGGGGGTTACCTTCCCCAAGTTCATTGGGTTCTGCCTCTGTTAGGCCGCTTATTGCTTGGTTTTCGGCCGCCCTTTGTGTGCTGGGGTGTTCTGTCTCCCTTGTTCACCTTAGGTTGAGGGGCAGTTTTGCACTGGCAGGGGCACAGGGTACTATGCAGCTTGTTTACACCAATCAAAGCTACTGGCTCTGTTCCGCCTGGATACGCTGTCCTCTTGCGGGGTTTTCTTTTTGTTTTTGTTTATTTCTGGTGGTGGTCTGCCTTGGTTCTTACCCCTTGTGTACTGAGTATTCTTCCTTCTTCCGGTGGTATTCCCTGCTTGGTCCCTGTGAGTGTACACGTCCCGGGGGTTCAGTTCTTAGATGGTTATTTGGTAGACTTGGGCGCCGGTTAGCAGTACCCTGCCTGGGATTACAGTACAGTGGTACCTCGGAATGCGAGTGTCCCTGTATGCGAGTTTTTCGGAAGACGAGCAGGATTTACTCCAAAAATATGTCTCGGAAGGCGAGGGTTACCTCGGGACGCGAGTTTGTTGATACAGGCATACCTCAGAATATGAGTTTAATCCGTTCCTGGAGACGCCTCGCCTTCCGAAAACTCGCATTCCGAAGTTAATTTCCCCATAAGAAATAAAGGGAAATGTATTAATCCGTTCCTGACTACCCCAAAAACCCCACATCAAACTAAATTTTTATACCTAATTTACCTAATTCATCTAAATAAACCTACAAAACTGTGTTCCAGTTATTACTTACCTTGCTGTCGAGTGCTGTAGGCGTATGGAAGATGGTGAGGAGGGGGGAGGAGGAGAGGAGTTACTGTTTGGA